CCCATCCACCCACCTACTGTCGCCTTACCTCCCTAGGACCCTACCCACCCATTGCCGTTGCCACCATTACTATCGCTGTCATCAGTAATAGTGACCATCGCCTACGTCTAAAGTTACTATCAAACCCTATTAATCACTGCCCAAACTTTAGTGACCGCATTTGACAGTTACTATCAAAGACTCATGCCATTAGTAACTCGTCCGGTAGTGACTTGTGCATTAAAATTATTTGCGGAATGTGATAGTAACTATCAGATTAGTCACTATTAGCTTCAGTGACTAAGATTGCTAGGTGGTTACCATTATTGATTAGCGGTGGCTGGAATCACTATTGGTGCAACGTGATAGTAAATTATTAACTTATCGTCGGAGACATTGTATTAAGGAGATACGTAGTCACTGTGAGACTTAAGCTAGTTATTTAGTGGTCACTAATGGAGGCGGCAGTTGTGCTGGTGGCGTCGACAGTGACGGTGTTGACGGCGATGGCAACAATATAATGATAGTTTCGGTGGTAATTGCGGCGGTGGTAATTGTGGATAACTAGATGATGTTGATTCATTATAAAAATAGAATGTCATAATAATAAATATGATTTTAACTGAAGATATAAAATAGTTGTTTTTACAACTTTAAAACAAGTCACGAATATGATCTTAATACTCCAGTATAAGATATTGGGGCCAATTAATTCGTGAAATTCTATTCACAGCCTTTTTTACTATTAACAGTCATAAAATAATTATTAATTAATAAAAATACATCGTTAAAAAATAATCAGACCCATCATATCAATCAAGACACTAAAATAGCATCATAAATTTATAATGATTCTACGCAGTTTGTTTATTGATAATTCTATTTACAACCACCAAATTAAATATTATAAATCTGGTTATTTAAAATTTCTAATGTGCACATTAAGTAATAAAGTACATTATTTCAATACACTAGACACATATCTGATATTTGATGTATTCAATATATTCGCATGTGTGATCTTTTTAAAATTTATGTATACTTTTGATTGAAAGAGTGATTAATTAATACTCCGTATATTAAGAGTATGATGATACACACATATAAATTATATATAACAACTACTTTCAGTTAGGATTAATAAAAAAATATCCATATTTTACACATTAATTATGTGTTCTTTAATATATATTATATGGTTGGAGACTTATAATAAAAACAATATGGCTGAGGACTTAAATGATTAATATTAATATAAAATGTAGTAATTACAAATAAAGTGTGTTGAGTCATTATAAATTTACGTTGATTCATTAAGGGTTAAATTATTTTTAATTATGTATTTTTATTAATAAGTAATTGGTGGTTGTGAATGGCAAATTGGGGGCTGTCGATAGAATTATCTATTCGTGATTTAAAGTAGGTCCATAAAAGCTTTAAATAACTGATAGGGTTGTTTCAGAATTTACATACGATTAAGTATGAACAAAGCCTAATTGTACAAATGAATGGCCCAAAGTAGTCACTAACTTTTTAAATTTTTTAAAATAAAACTTACTTACATAAATATGGTTAACTAATAGTTACCACATTATATCGTCATACTGTCATAGTTATTTAAAAGAAATAATTACATATTTATGACAAAATAAAGATTGTTAATAAAAATGTAAGTAGTGACTACTGTAATATTACAGTAGTCACTACTTACATTTTTATTAACAATCTTTATTTTGTCATAAATATGTAATTATTTCTTTTAAATATCCACAAATCCATTTACCCAATATAATAAAATTCAGTCACGAAAGTAACAATTAAAATAAAGTAACTAGTGTTGAAAGTTGGCGTGTTTAATCAGAAAATAAAGAAATTAATTAATTAATTAAATAAATAAATAAATAAATAAATAAATAAATAAATAAATAAATAAATAAATAAATAAATAAATAAATAAATAAATAAATAAATAAATAAATAAATAAATAAATAAATAAATAAATAAATAAATAAATAAATAAATAAATAAATAAATAAATAAATAAATAAATAAATGGGACATAAAGCCAAGTCTTGTGCAAAACACAATTTCCTTAAAACTTATCCGCTATCTCCCACGGTGCTACGAGTGTTGCGGCAAAAGTTTCCTTGGATACGGTGGCTACGAACAACCGTATGAGCACACAATCGGTCGTTCCGGTGAACGAAAACAAAGCAAAAGGTATTTTCAGAAAGTTGGAGGCAGATTGTAGCTGAAAAACTACGTGTAAACTGTGAATAGTCGTATGTTGTTGAGAATCGATCACCTGCCAGCAATATATAGGGATGAATTTGTTGTGTGTTAAGTGAGGTTTAATGGACCAGAACGTTGGGTATTAATATGTCCAGAAACTGTCAATCTAAAGATGCATTAAAGGAGAAGAGCGTTGGACATTAAATATTATTTTTGTATGATGGATTTACGGATGACATTCGTATCCGCAGGTCGCACGAGCACGCAAGTCGCGATTTTTCTTCTCCTTTTTCGGGATTTGATCCGCACCCCTGTGCATGAAGAGAGTCTTTCCACAAATATTGTATACCGGTTAGGGGAGTATGCAATGAATATTTTAGAAGTATTGACATTTTAAGGAGGAAAAAAATGTAAAAGAAAAGGAAGCTTACCTATTGCGATTTCGTTTGAGCGACTGACCAGAAGCACACGATTAGGTCTTCATATGCGAGAGGCGATTGGATGGAAAAATTGAACCAGATTGAAACAAGGGGTAGTTCTATGCAGGAAAGAGGCCAATACCGGGAGTGGGTATGAGAGAAGAGGGAAAGCAGATAAGAGAAGAGGGAACCACACGTGCCTTTTGGCAAATATTAACTTGTCCAAGGATCATTTGCAATTTTTATTTTTTAAAAAAGAAATAGCTGACATGGAGTGAATGTCAAATAGGAGTACGCCACACGTTGTATGTACCAAAACATATTCTAATATGATGGTACGGGAGAGCTTTCCTTAATAAATACAGACAGTGATGTATCTAGGAATTGTTGTGAGTGAGGGTGAATTTACATTACATATTCTAGCCATCATGTCACAAACAGTTGAATACAATAAGAGATTTTTGTGAAGTTAGTTACAAATAATAAAATATTTGTTCGACAAAAAACATGAAAACATACTTAAAACATTTCAGAAATAAATTAGATGACTTGAATAAGGGATGGATATTGTATGTATTTTGTATTAATGTAAATTGTGAATGCACAATTATATCTAAAAACCAGTTTATATTTAGTGCAAAAATGTAATTGAAAAACTTAATAAATTATACTACCTCCATTCTTTTTTAGTTGTAACACTAGTGATTTTGCTCTATTCACATATTCTACATTGACTATATTTTATTTATTAATGTATTACAAATTCAAATTTTGAAAAAAGTAGTTAATTTCTCTCACTTTAAATTATCAAGATCTGAATTTTTTAATTTTTTTACCAGTAAAGAATGAAAGATACTCATGGTAGAATTTATACATTGACAAGCATGAAAAGTGGATTGTTATATTAAAAAAGAACGGTAGAATTATGAGAAACAAAAATCTTAATGAAGTAGTTTAAACTTTCAAATTAAAGAAAAATTGATAAAACTATCTAAAGTCACTTAGAAAAAGAACATGAAAGAAAGAGGATAAAAAATAAGATTCACAAGGAAAGGGCACTTCCGCTTGGCCAAAGAAATTTTTGTCATTCTTAGCATAATTAATGTATATAATACTATATTTAGCACACACACACACACACACACACACATATATATATATATATATATATATATATATATATATATATATATATATATACACACGATTATTCCTGTCCGGAAATTTCGGACAGGAGCCCCGTCTGGCCTCCTCCATTTGGGGGGCCTTCCCGATGGTATTTTTTGACCAAATTTGTTGTGTATGTTCCTCATCAAGTCTAGTTCATCCATACCAAATTTCAGCCAAAACTTCAATCGGAAAAATTGTCAAATGATTTTTGCAAGTTAACTGGTCCGGAATATGTATTTTCCGTACCAGTGAACTTGGAAAAATCATTTGACGAGCTTCCCGATTAAAGTTTTTGCTGAAATTTGGTATGGATGAACTAGACTTGATGAGGAACATACACAAAAAATTTGAGCAAAAAATACCACCGGGAAGGCCCCCAAAAGGAGGAGGCCGGACGGCGCTCCGGTCAGGAATTTCCTGACCGGAAGATTACTCTATATATATATATATATATATATATATATATATATATATATATATATATATATATATATATATATATATAATTTAATTTAATTTTAAATATATACACACACATGATTTGTGTGGGTATTGAGAGGGGGAATACGGAGTATGTGGTTTAGGTCGTGAACTGACACACAACTCACCCTCCACGTTGGATGACCGAGGAGCATCAAACAATCAAGTCCAAAAATTACAACACCAACCTATTCTTAAACAATGTTGTGGCGAGTTAAAGACATCAACCCACTTTGATACCTCTTCATAAAACCCAAAACAAACCCATACTTGACATTAAGCTTTGTATATATGTGAATATCAAGAGATCAGGCTAACAACAAGTTTGTCTATCTAAACACTAATACTTATTCTGTTACATATGGAAAGTAAGACTCCGAGTCGATCATATGACAATATGACAATATGAATGTAGTAACAACTCCAACTTATTCTGTTACGTATGGAAAGTAAGACTCCAAGTCACCAGTGATCTCTTGCATTACATAATACATATAATATATACTACTCGTGCCGTTTTACACAGTTGAACCAACTCAATCCGGATTTGTGAGATTGGTCATTATTCCCATTACCAATGAAAGGTATAAAGTAGTAACCATATTTTTGGTGTGACAACTTACAAAGAGCCCCATCTAAAAAGCCTCACATTCCACAAACCCTACATACAGAGTGGTTATATTGGGTTTGTTTGGTTTGGTTAAATTTTGTTCTTGTGATAGGAGAATATGTGATAACAATGCCATTACAAGTAACAGAACACATTCACCATTTTTTTATCAAGAAAAAATATAACATGATACTCGGTATGTATAATCATTGAAACAACTGCAAGGACTTTATTTCATCACATACTAAAACTAAATTGCTTCATTAGTATACCATAACTATAGCTCTATAATATAAAAAAATAGCTCTATAATAACTAAGAATGTTGCTTGTTCAATTTACACATCAGTTGTTGGAGTTCCGCAAGTCAATTCCATCAGGCATCAGCCTTTCACAAGCCGATGTTTTGACCTTTCGGTGTATTCGTTAACAAGCTTGGCAAATGAGGATGACTTGTTTGCTAATAGTCTGTCAGGAGAGTCATATTCCTCAATAAGCCCTGCACCATTAATGAATTTCAACATAAAATCTAGAAAGTGTGCGTGCATGTTTGTGTGAACATGTTAAATAACAATAAGACAAAAGATAAGGAAATACTCACCATTACTCAAAAGTAGAACCCCATCATAGTTAAGAATGGAAGTTATTCTATGTGCAATTGTTATAACAGTGGAGTCGGAAAAGTGATTCCTAATGGTTTGCTGAATCAAGTTATCGGTGGCAGTATCAACCGATGCAGTAGCTTCATCAAGGACCAACACCTTACTCTTCTTTAGTAGCACCCGCGCTATACAGATAAGTTGTTTCTGACCCATACTCCAGTTCTCTCCGTTTTCCGTAACTTCACACACCATAAAAATCAGTACTTAGACTTCGGTTTCATCCTTGTAGTTAGGAGGAGTAATATGTGATCTTAAAGTAATATGCAGAGTAGTAGTTTAATAACTCATGTTTTACTGTTCTGAGATAAACACTCCAACAACCGGGCCACGACAAGTTTAAAATAATTGAATACATTTTTATTATTATATAACTGAGTAACTCACCTATGGAATCTAAGTCATTGTCCTTCTTCCTGATTTCGTAACCAAGTTGGCATTTATCAAGAACCTATATATACCATAAGTAAATATGAATGAGGGGCGTTAGAGGAATTCTTTTTTAATAATAAGAATGCTAATGTGTTACAAGTTACTTTTAATCTATATAAAATCATTATCAACTCACCTCCCAAATTTCCACGTCAGTGTAGGACTCAAGAGGGTCCAAGTTGCTCCTGATTGTACCTTGAAACATGGTAGGATCTTGGGGAATGATGCTTAGTCTCGATCTGAGATCGTGCAAACCGATCACCGAAGTGTTGATACCATCAATCACAACATGTCCGTTTGCAAGTTCCACTATTCGGAATAGAGTTTGTATGAGTGTTGACTTTCCACTACCAGTTCGACCTACAATACCAGTTTTCTTCCCTCCCGGAAAAGTGCACGTGAGACCCCACAGCACTAGCGGCAAGTGAGGGGCATAACGCACCTGCATGTTATATTCATTATTACTTCATATATGCCATAAAGGTATTTTTCTTGTAGATTGCCGAATAACTAACAAACATGTTAAGTATGAATTATGAAACATTCGAGGCATCTTTGTTGGGGGTTTCGGAGAACAGAAGAAGATTTCTTTCTTTGTTTTACTACATTTTCATTTTGTAGTTTCTAATGTATTTCTATGTAATTTTTTCATCTTCACTTTCTTCGAAACTATCTAAATATAAGTGTAAATTTAAAAATAAAACTTCCTTAGTTCCTTCCTGAAAACTCCCAAACCAAGCAAGAGCTTAGTTAAACCAACAAATACGTCTTAAAATTATATGCAAGTGTTAATAGTTAGGCATTGTCAAGGTTAACCTGCAGAGTGGCAAATTTTAAAATCTCTATAGATGGGCATTGTATAATTTAAACCAAACTAGAGTTTATTTGTTGAGTAAATCAAATAAAGCAGGCAAACATTACCTGTAGATTGGCTATAACAACTTCTCCATGAGATGGCCATGAAGGTTCTGGTTGATTTACATCATATATTATAAGAGGGGCCTCACTAGGGATAGACACAAATTGAAGTATCCTCTCTACTGATATCATCGCATACTCTAGATTGCAAATGTTCCATATCACCTTCGCTTGAGCCGTATTTAGGTTAAGTCCATAAGTCACAGCCAAACCAGCAATGGCTTAATAAAAAAAATATTACAAGTTAACAGTAATCCATGTTGCGGCTTACAGAAACCACAGTTATTATACATACAAACCATGACATACATACCTGGATTGATTCCATCGGAGAAACCGACTAGGAAAAATAAACAAAAGGCAAAAGTGATGCAAGAAAGCATGTCTAAGCGAAGACCAAGCCATTCGACCGCACCAGCACTATGGAACTTCAACTGAGAATATGCGTCATTCAACTTCATATTTGAATTTTGAAATCTGGACTGTTGATCAAAACTTCTAATGGTGACTGCTCCTGAAATCGTTTCAGAAAAATGCTGGATAACCGGAGCATTGCAGGTTCCAACCAGCCGTGAAAGTTCTCTTGCACAAGGTATGTAATAATTCTGCATCATAAAAGCAACATTTCATTCCAACATATTCTTCCATGTTTAATGTTAGAGTAACCCAGTTTGAAATCCGGGGTGAGTTGCATGTCAAGGGCTGCCTCGTTTTTTAAGTTGTTTAATCTTAATAAACCAATGCAATTTCATAATAATTCGTATATTTCAACTAAATTTCACATTCAAGTATAATTTGGCTCTATTATCAAAATATCACTTTTATCCTCCCATGACTTCCTTACATGAGGTAAAAGTATATTTATCACCATTTAATTTGTAGTTTATACAACTATTATGCCATTGTATTCATAACACATAATCATACACAATTTATTCATAAATTTGTATATTATGCATTTTTGCTTATAAACAATAATGATCTCGTTTAGGCATTTTTAATTATTAATAAATCATGCCAAACACATATAATTCATTTAGGAAATCTTATGAAATTAACCCAATAATTATAAGCAATATAGTCGGTCATCCTCACCTTAAGTGAGCTTAAGCGTGTTCTACGCTCCCCGATCGAACTTTGACTAATTCCGGTGAACTTTGACCAACTTCGGCGAACTTTGACCAACTCCGGCGAAGCTCGAAAATGCTCTAATCAAGTTCCTAACAAGGTTTTAACATCATAAAACCTTAATCAAAACAAATAACCTTTAAAAGGTTATTTTCCGGTGAACTTGTCGGTTTGGCTTCTAAGTCCGTTTTTGGACTTAGAACCACTCTCCAACCTATTATTCCACACTTTAATTATGTAGAACAACCCTCAAGGTCCTTCATATGATATATATCACATATGATAGAAGAAAAATAAAGGAAAAGTTAATATAAGGTTATTACCTTAATCTTTCTCACTTTTCCTAGCTTTTTCTCCCTTTAATCTTTCCCCTTGGACTTCTATTGCTTGAGCTCTCTTCAAGGATGGGAAAAGGAGGATGGGGATTTTCTTGGTCTTGCTGGGGTTTGTGCTGGCCGAGAGAAAGAAATGAGGGAGAGAGGAATTCCTCTTTTGTCTTAATGGGCAAATAACCATGGGTGTGGGTCTACCCCATTTTGTTTGATGCCAATTCCTTCATCTCAATATCATCTCCCATGATTCCCTACTCTACCAGCCGGCCAACTCCTTAATTTGAGTGGTCAAATTCGTGGGTTGGCCCCCACCCATGTGGGAGGTCAACCCTTTTTGTCCAGAAGTGTACAATCGGTCCCGAAAGTTGTATTATTTTGGACTGTTTTAAATATATTTTATTTTATCGGGTCAAATAAAATATATTATGTGTTCTTAATCATTACACCCTTTATAATGAATATACATTTCCCAACTTTAATTTATAGGCCTCCGAAATCCCATTTCGGGCTTTTATTGGTTAAATTACCAATACCGGAATTTGGGCTTTTCCATTGCTCAAATGAGATATCCACCGCCATATAAATATTATCTAGACCAAGATGAATAAAATATATGGTCCCGGGAATATGGGGCGGTCCCCGCTCCCGGTGTGGGCCCCACGTGCGAATTTACTATTCCCGCAAAAGAATTAATAAAAATTCATAACATCATAAACTCGTTAACCATTCAATAAGGTTAAATACAATATTCACTTAAAAGTAAATACACTTGGGGACGGTGTTACATTTTAGGATGGAACCACGTGTCTTAACATTGTATCAGAGCCAAATCGATTCATGGTGGGGGGCCCCTTATGAAAATGATTGATTATAAAAAAAAAAAAAAGACAATTACGGCCGAATGAAAAAAACGGACTGATGAAAAAAATAAATGATGGCACGATACAGACGAAGTGTCTGGTCGTGAGGAGGGGTGTTAAATGTCCCACACCGGAAAATTGAGAAGCATTAGAATGCTATATTAAGCTTCGGGCTACTCCTCCTAACAGGTTGATCTTTTAGGATGGAACCCCGGGTCTTAACAAAAAAATTGACGACCGATGAAAAAAATGAATGACGACACGATCCCGACGAAGTGTCTGGTCATGAGGAGGGGTGTTAAATGTCCCACACCGGAAAATTGAGAAGCATTAGAATGCTATATTAAGCTTCGGGCTACTCCTCCCAACAGGTTGATCTTTTAGGATGGAACCCCGGGTCTTAACAAAAAAATTGACGACCGATGAAAAAAATGAATGACGACACGATCCCGACGAAGTGTCTGGTCATGAGGAGGGGTGTTAAATGTCCCACACCGGAAAATTGAGAAGCATTAGAATGCTATATTAAGCTTCGGGCTACTACTCCTAACAGGTTGACCTTTTAGGATGGAACTCCGGGTCTTAACATGGTATCAGAGCCAATTCCGGTTGTGGTTTGATGGCTTGTTTAGCACCCATTATTAAGTGTAGCTTGTTAAGGGTTTGTTTGGCCCGTTTATACACCCCGATATTGTCCAGCCCGGTTCGGGCTGAGGGGACGTGTTGAAGCATTTGTACCACACCGGAAAGCTATAAAACAATTAAACACTATATAAGACTTTGGGCTACTCCTCCTATCAGGTTGACCTTTTAGGATGGAACCACGTGTCTTAACACATTTACATCTAACCCTTCGATAATCCCACTTGTATATTACTAGAGTACGGGTTCCCACTTCCCAACATGTTAAATAGTATTGTGTTCACATACTACCCAATGGATAAACTATGATTCCATAGTTAGATGATGGGTTGTTCACTATAATGTATGGGGATCCATTATCCACTGGTAATGGATCAATTGGTATACTTAATGTTTTAGGAAGATTTGGGTTGTACACAAATATTGGACTGTTTCGTAAATGAATTGGGATACACGAAGATGTTCAGTGTTTGGATAATTTAATAAATGGGTCTATAGACTTGTACGGGATTTTCATAGATTCGGTGGGTATAGAACTAAGAAGATGTTCTCTTCGCCTGATCTGAATGTTTCTGATCTGAATTTTTTAAGTTCTGATCTGATCTGATCTGAATTTTTCTGATCTGATCTGAATGTTTCTGATCTGGTCTGATCTGATCTGAATCTTTCTGATCTGATCTGATCTGATCTGAATTTTTCTGATCTGATCTGATCTGAATTTTTCTGATCTGATCTGGTCTGATCTGAATAAAATAAGAATAAGTAATAAGTAATAAGAATAAGACAAACAGAACAGCACCTTAGAGTCCATATTCAAAAGTTAAAGATAAAACGATGAGTTAACAAGGCATTAGGTTGAACTAGTTAATATGTTAGTTAAGTGTTGTTTGACCCAAGTGCCTCATGACCAAGTTGATTGACCTCTACTCAGTCATGAACTTTATGGAGTATCATTTAAAATCCAAATAAGGAGAATATTACCTGGTACCAGATGCATGCAGATATCACGGGTATAAAAATGACAAACACTTGCCACGCTGCCTGAGACATCACTGTGATTGTGCCCAGAAGATTGATCATTAAGAAAACAACTACATAAACCCGGTATGATATGTTCTCGTCTACTTCGCTTTGGTCAGTTGAGCACTATAAGACCCAAAAAAATCCAATAAGGAATAAGAAGAATTCAACAAACATTATGTTTAATATCTTTAAAATGTGAGATTCCATTTTTAAAGGTCAACATGATAGGGGTGTATTTCAAGGTCTTATATGTAGGTTTATTATGAAAAAAAGGATGACACCCCATCCCTGAGGGCCCCCAGAACCAACAGGACAGTTACCTGCGAGGAGGGGGGTAGGTTTGTTATTCAATAATTAGCCCATGTTGACAAAGCTTTAATACGTATCTAACAAATCAAATGCTGTGTGCTGAACTTACTCTATTAAGAATCCGTCCACTTGGGGTTGCATCAAAGAAGGACATGGGAGCACGAAAAATGCACGAATGCATTTTATTAAACAGTATGGTTGCGGTTTTATACCCTGCTGTCTCGAGGAGTATGGACCTAAACAGAATGCAAACAGAACTGACGAAAACGAAAGCAACATAAACAGCTATGAGATTGTACCCTATCTGCTTTGCATCCTTAGAAGAAGTAGGAGCAGCCCCAGCCATCCAATAGTTACTACCAATCAAAAGGACCTGATAAAGAAGATGTAGCAACAAAATTATGGGAACTAATGCTCCTCCGTATACCATAGTTAGATATTTCCAGTACACTGGGAATCCGACATTTCCTTTTCCTCTTTCTTCTTCTTTAACAAGTTGTCCCCCTCCCTCCATAGCAGCAGCTGTCTCATCATCAGGTTTAAGACACTCTTCTTTCAAGGTATCCTCATTAGAATTGGTAATACTTTCTGTAGTACTACAATCTGGCTCTTCATGTTTAGAATCATTAAGTGCGGATAAAGCTAGGTTATGTGCACCTAAAAGTTCCATAAAGTCAGACCCTGACTTGAGAATGTCCTCATATGTTCCAGCTTGTGTAATCCTTCCATCTTTCATGACCTAAACAGAATTAATGTCAAAGCTGAGTGAAACAGTCCTTATAGTATAAAAATATATGAAAAAAATCCTCAAGCATTACTAAGGAACTAGCAATTCAACAAAATGTTAACATTTTAATTTTAGGAAAAAATATTACTAATACGGTAATTATGGTCAACGAACAATGACTGCTTATGACCAAAGTTATATACCAGCATCTGGTGAGTCACTGTTCCTAAATCCTAACTGCGTTGGTAACATTTTATGTTCTAAATTTAAAATTTTAATGTTTTATCAGATGAGTAGTTAATAAAAGTAGAGAATATTACCCGAAATAGGACTACAAAGGTTTGAAAATTCCAAAATAGGACTGCCATGTTTTTATTCCCAAAATAGGACTAATTACTGCCATGTTTTGGCAGTACCAGACTTCAAACATGGTAGTATTTTACAAACTTGGCACTAATTACTCCTATTTTGGGAATAAAAAACATGACAGTCCTATTTTGGAATTTTCAAACTGTTTTAGTCCTATTTCGGGAACTTTCCCTAATAAGTACTGTAGTTTTCAAAAGAAGAATCCTTAAATAAATAGGAAACTAAAATGAGAAAAGAATATGCATAGTTACTTACTAGTATAAGATCAGCAGCATGCAAGAACTCAACTTGATGAGTCACATAGACAACAGTTTTTTGACTCAAAAGTCCAAGCAAAACTCCCTGTTGTGAGATGAACAAACAAATATACTTTATTAGCACTATTTATTAAACTGTGACAGAATTCAAGATTGGATTAAGTTCACTAACTGGACCACAAGTCACTTGGACCATACCACACTAAAAGATTGAGTTCACTGGGACCATACCACAATAGTTATCCAATGTCCATCTAACCTATCATTCTCTTTATTTTTCTGATGTAGGATTCTAAAGGGAAGACAAAAATAATGATTACCTTGAATAAATGAGATCCAGTATGTGCATCAACGGCGCTAAAAGGATCATCAAAAAGATATATGTCAGCATCTTGATATAGAGCTCTTGCAATTTGGAATCTTTGTTTTTGTCCACCACTTAAATTAATACCCCTTTCGCCGATAATGGTCTGATCTCCGAATGGCAAGATTTCAAGGTCCCTCTCCAAGGCACATGCCTCCAATATGCTCTCATACTTACTCCTATCCATTTCTTTACCAAATAAGATATTCTCTTCAATTGTCCCACTCTGTATCCATGGTGACTGAGCAACATACGCCTTTCTCCCGCACACTTTAACCGAGCCTGAGATTCTTGGAACTTCTCCTAAAATGGAAGATAGCATGCTAGACTTGCCACAACCAACAGTGCCACATATGGCAACTCTCATCTTTCGAAGTACCTTCAAATTTATGTCTGTTAGAGTTGTAGAATTAGAGCCCCAAGAAAAGCAGCCCCTTGTTATCTCAATTGCTATGTCAGAACTTTGAATCTCCTCTACAGCATCAATAGGCAAGTCATCAAGAGAAAGGAAAGATGATATTCTACAAAGGGAGACTTTTGTCTGAGCGATTGTAGAAATTAAAGAAGGAATATTTGTCAGTGGATCTTGAAGCATTCCAAATGTTGCGAGTGCTGATAAGATCTTTGCCGAGTCTAAAGGGATTTTTAATAGCACACATGCAGAGAAGGAAGTGACAGACACGAAAATAGGAGCGCACCAGAAAACAAAAGTTACAAAGGCAGAAGTGTAAAGAACTTTCTTCAACCATTGTTCTTCGGTTTTACGAAGTCCCATGATCTTCGACAGAAATTTCATATCCCAAGCCTGAAGCTTGATAATCCTCATGTTTCTCAAAACCTCAGAAGTTGCCTTAATTCTCTCATCTTTAGCTTCCATCAGTTTCCCATCAAAACTGGCGTATAGTTTTCCTAACGGATACTTCACTGCTATGAGTATACAAGTTCCACCAAGTGTGGCAAGAGAGGCAAGCCCAAGATTTTTATACAATATGAACAAAGCTAAACTTATTTGAAGAAGAACTACCCAAGGCTCGTGAATTTCGACGCCACAACTCTCAATCTGTTGAGCATCAATTGTCATGAGATTAATTTTCTGACCACTTGTGTTTTCCCCGGAAGAAGTCACCGTTAAGCCCTTGTGATATATCAATGTCACAATCACTGCACGCATTCTCATTCCTATTTGCTTAAGCTTAAAGAAGCTGCATCTGTATGAAAAGCGTTCTACTAACTTTGCAACCAGAAAGGATGAAGCTAAAAGATAGCCCTGATTTCTGAACTTCCCTTCCCCATTAAGGCAGCTAACAAATTCGCCTATGAGGTATGGACCAACATAAGAAGCTAAGGTGTATGTCAAGGAAAGGAAACCTGTCAAAAGAATATCTCTCCAGGCAGACAAGAATAATGCCTTGACAAGGTTCAATGCAGAAACTCTAGTGGCAGTGTCACCTTGGGACTCAAGAAGTTTACTTCTGAAAACTGGGAATGCTCCAAAAATACTGTCTTTACTATCAAGCTTAGGAACATCAACAAAGTCTAATGGTTTTCTGTTGCCAAGTTTGATTAGAGAACTGATCCAAGAAAAAGTAAGAACACTGAAAAGACCTGCCCTTGAGTATGGGGTTACAGAGTTATCCCTTTTGCACTCCTTTGAATTTTTTTCATCCAATAGCGGTTCATCTAGTGGGTTATCTTCGCCGCTCTTTGTTTCCATCTTCCTGAAAATAATTAGAAAGAATGGAAAAAATATGACTTCTACTCTTGACAAAAATGTGATTAGCTTTATTTTAAATTTGAGTAACTATGTTCAAAAGCTTAAATATTTGCAACGGCATGGCATTGACTACTCTTATCCGGACCGGCCACACAAGAGGTTTAATACTCTGTATCATTATCACACAAAAGCGTAGACTAAATTATATCGCATTAAAACAATAAGCATCTTGCCTCTCATGATCATGAACAATTAATACGAAGTAAATGAACAATTTCGTATTGGCAGCGATCTAACGGAATCACAAGTCAAGTTATTTTCTGCGCACAGTTTCCTTTTTACCTAAATGAAGTTTCTGTTCCCCTTCTGCGGGACGAAGCAGATTCAGGCGACGGTCAGGCTGAAGTCATGGATGTCTATGACCTTTGTCCAGGGGCAATGATGGGTTCGCCGGTGAATGATGCCGCGAAGAATAGCAGCGAATGTTCTCCGGTGATGGCGCCGGTTGTCAAAGCCTCCCACAGAATGAGGTGAAAATGGAGAAGCTCAGATGAACTCATGCTGCAGACGACTGGTTTGTAGCACCTGTCTTTGACTCTGCGAATACTACGTACGCGTATGGAATGCAGTGCTAGTCTAGGATGGTGTGCTCATCATTAATCGATTTTTTCCTAAATTATTTGGCAAATATTTTGATTTAAAAAAAAAAATCTTTGACAAATATTCTATAATACGGAGTATTTGTTTTTTTATGTAGGGCCACGAATTCGGAACTTTGTTATTATTATATGACTAGATTCTCACCCGCGCGATGCGCGGGATATTAAAAGTAATAGTAATACAACAATTTTTTTAAATGTTACTCCGTACTTGATTGTGTGAAATGAAAGTAAATTAGCATATACTACCTTCGTCCCATTTATATTGGGACGGAAAAGGGTGACACGATTATTAAGAAAAGTGGGTTTGTGTGGTTGATATTAATTGATAAAGTAAGAATAAAGTAAGAATGATTTAGAGCCACACAAACTTTACCAAATATGGTATGTGACAATTTAAGTGGGACTTTCCGAAAAGGTAAAACAGGTCAATATAAATGGGACAGAGGGAGTATATGTAACATGCATAATAATTTATAAATAAAGTTCGGATAGTGAAAACTCAAAGACAGGTAGTAAGTATGTTTTGGAATAAGTATAAAAAACAAATGTTAAATAGGGTTTCACAATCTACACATTGACCGGACGGTGGTTCTAGTTAGTCCGGACTGACCATATATCTTTTTTTTTTCAACATTTTGATCAACTTGGCCAAAAATTTATATAGTTATTAATAAATAGGTTTGTGAAGACTTTATTTGAATATACCTTTCATAAGATACGTAATTTATTAATAGAAATGAAATAGTATTTATTTAGTTATTAACAAATAGGTTTTTTATTTCAAAAATTGGGACCATTTTAAATCTTGTAAAATATATACGGAGTAGACATTTTGATTTCAGATTGGTACGTAGTACGTACAGATTAATAACCTCCTTAAGCTCCATTTTAATAATCACTCCATTGTAAAATACAGAAATTATCCAAAATAGGAGTAAAACTAGGTTAAAAATAAAAAATAGGACTTCTTATGTTTTTATTCTCAAATAGGACCAATTTACTCCTATTATGAAACATAGATAAATTGGCGTGCCATTTTTACCCCGCACTTATTTATTCTCCTCCCTAACCTTCTCTCTGCACAAATCGCTACATCTATCGATCACTACTCCTCCAGACGCGATCTTCTTTGCAAATCGTCTTTCTCCCTTACAGATCTGCGATTTTGCTGCAAGCCGCCGCACGCCACCTCTGCCGGCTCCATCTTCATCACCTCTGCTTCGTTGCCTCCGCCTTCCACCAGCGTCAAATTTATTTTCCTCCCTATTTCAGGTTTTTATCTTCTACTACTTCTTCTTCTTCTTCTTCTTCTTCTTCTATTCTTCTCCATCCTCCTTCTCTTCCTTCTTCTTCTTCGTAATTCTATGATTTTGTGGGTAATTTACATTCCTCTGTTTTTTGGGATAATTTTGACATTGATTTTGTCAATTTTGAGATTTATATTTTCGTGTTTTGATTTGTGAGTATTTAAACATTTTGATTTTCCAGAGTTTTGGATGATGGCATAAGATTTGGCCATGTTTGTGGCAGAAATGTACACGGGCAATCAGATTATGGCAAAAATGTCTTTGTGTAAATCTGCTTTTATGATTTTTTTCATTAGCTCCGTATTTCTAATTCTGTTAGAGTTCTTATTCTGTTAATTTTTGTTTGAAATTTTGGTTATTCCTTTCATGTTTTTGACAAATAAATGGCAGTTTTCTACTATTATTCCAAAATTAATCTGCCAACTATGTGGCAAATTTGAAAACCTTGTTCATGGCAGATTTGAAATTAATTTAGACTAGATCTGCCAAAAATTTGGCAGTTTCTGGGACTGGAGTTGTAACGGCGGCGACCATGCTCAGAGGTGATGTGGCAGCCCTGAAGTTCACAATGGTGGTGCTATGAGGATGGTGGCGGCGGTGGTGGTTGGGCGGCAATGAATGGTGACATTGTTTGGATGCGGCGGAGATGCTGGACGAAGACGGTATTGGCGAGGGCGGCGCCGATGAGATGACGTCAGGCGGCACCGACGAGACAGCGGCAACCGGCACCGGTGAGACAGTGGCAGGCGGCACTGACGTGGCAGGGGCAAGCTGCAACGGCACCAAGGGTCACGGAACTGCTCAAATACAGAGTAATAATTGAATGGGGGCGTTTTTGTCCGAGTACATGATTATAGGTCCTATGTAACATACTTTCGAATTTCGGTCCTATTTATGAACACGGCTCCTCTTTTAGTCCTAAAGAGACAATTAACTCTTGTAAAATAACCTCCATTTTAATACTCCGTAATATATTGCTCCGTATCTAGGAACCCAAAAGGCCAAAACCCAATAACCCATAACCGTCCTTTTACAAAACCCTAATACTCCATGTATAACCTCCTCAAGCCCTGCGCCGCCCATTCTTCTGTACATGACTTTCGTCCAGGTAGAGAGCGACATGGGTAAATCCGATGGTCTTCGTTTCTCTTCTTCAACCCTAACTCCGCCCATCACGAATCTTCTCCCCTCTAAGCTTCGTATACCTTCCATACTTCCACACCAGAGAGGTATTGGTGACTCGATGCAGCGATGCTCTCATCCCAACTCCGATGCAGCGGTGGTTGAAGACGATTCAAAGCCTCTAATCTAATGGTATCAATGTTGAATTCGTTGATTCTTTGTTTTATTTTTTGTTTCATGCTGCCTTATCCAACAACCGGAATAGTTACGATGGCTGAGGGATAATATCTCAGATCATGTCTACCATCCTTAATTGGGATTTGAATATGTATTCCTTGCGTCTCTGTCATTGAATTTTTATCCTTGTATGTATTTTTCTATGCATGACATTGTGAATGGAACTGAGGAGACAAATACCATCGAACGTGATTTTTTCAATACAAAAGTATATGTAAATGATATATAGTATTATTGTTCACTAAATGTATAAATGTTTTTTAGAAAAATAATGTTTAACAGATTTATTAAGTTGACTAAATCTGTAATTTTCTCAGAATGGATATACAAAGTTTTTAATATCTGTCATTTTGGTACCCAAATCTTTGAAATCATAAGACATTCACTGTGTTTGATAGACATTGACGAAAATAAATAGCTTTGGAGTCGGTAAATAAATTATGCCACACATATATGACATTACTATAGTGAGATCTCAAATCAATGAGACCCCCAGTAGATAAATGTCATACTTAAGTGAGTTTATATTGCTATATGATATACTTAACGCATTTGGATTGTAATTTGTACATATGAATGACGTTGTATACATACTTTGTTGAAAATACAAACAGTATTGTACTCATATATTTAACATGGCCCTTTACGTATGCTGCAATGGATACCGTTCTTGTTAATCTCAATATGATATATTTTTGAACATCTTATAAGCATTTTTAATTTAGTGAAAGGTATTGATTATGAAATCAATTTATCAAGTTCATCTTAGAATGACATATGATTCAAAAGTGTCTTAGAACATAAAAATTGTAATCTGCATTGTTAGATAGTATTTGAACTAATTATTTATTTATTTTTCAACGGCCAAAACATTTTCTTTTTTTGCATAAAACAAATTGAATTTCTATGTTTGCATGTCATGGATATTAATAAACTTAGTGTTTAACTATCTCATGTAGTGGTATCTATTCCTTATATTAGCATCTATGTGATACATTCATATACATATAAAAGTCAGGATCTCACATGGCAGCCTGCTGGGCAGAAAAACTTCAGTGCTTTTAATGACTTTAAGTCTATTTATATACTCCGTATATAAGATGACAAAGTTGGTCAATGAGCTTAATGTGTTTATTTTAATTGTTTGGACATTCAAGTATGTTTTTTGATCTCATGCACTCAAAATATTTTAGTTGTAAAACCCTGAGGAATATGAAACAAATTACTAAAACAGTCTTAGTTTTAGCTTTGAAATTTACCTTTCTTCCTTGCCATTGATCCTTGTGTGTTTGACAAACACAGTTTCCATAATCTTGCCAATGATATATGTTTCAAAACTGCCATAAAGCATACATAAGAGCAGGATTGCAGGAATGATAAGAACAGATTCATTTCAACATGTATGATGTATGTGCTACGTAGTGAGATACATTTTAACATGTCATTATCTTTTATATTGCAGGTCTTATCTAAAAAACGGATTATATTGTTGACTTATAAAAGTATGCTTTGTAAAATGTAAATTTGTAGGCTGTTGGACCTGAATAAGGTGCCAAAATATGTACTATTCGTAAATGAGATGTAATTATAAAATAGTTCAGATTAGGGATTACAGGGTTTTATTACTGCATAGTCAAATTCTCAGCAGGTATGATCTACATCCCCTAGATTTTTTAGTCTTACTTTTTATTTAAATTTTTACCTGGATTTCTCTGATGAGATTGTTGATATTTGTTACTATGACCAGTACAGTTCATGCTCTTTTATTCAAGACTTCTGCATTCCAAGCTATGGTTTTTTCACTATAGCATGGATTTGAGTCCCCTGTCAAAAACATTTGATGTTAAAATTTAAATGAATGCATAGTAGATCATATGAATGCATATTAGTAGTAATAGTAAATGCTTGTGCAATGCTTGCTTGTGGTGTGGTTTGCAACTCATATTGAGTGTATTTATAGGGGCAGAATGGAGTGTCTTCCAAAATCAAATAGGTTTTTAACCAAAGGTCCATTAAACCAAAATCTTTACTAAAGATATTAAAGTACAAACATTAAATGACCTCAAGCAATACATTGAACTTTTGAAATCTTTGATTACACATCCCCATGCGGATTTGGAAATGACATTCAAGATTTTTTTTAGTACAAACTAATTAATTCAAAGTGACAGCTGCCCTTTTTTTAATATTAAAGTTGTCCTTTTTATTGAGCCTCACAAATTGCTTTATTGGGTTTTGGCCTTTGCATTTAATGTTGTATACTTTAGTTATAGAATCTGCAAAATCCATTAATGCCAACCCAGCTGCCCGGTTTTAACTGATTAATTCAGGATTTTATTTGTGATCTCTTTTATGATAAAGTACAATCTAGTATTTAATGCATTGTACCGATTAATTCCCCACACGTTTTGAGCCACACAACCACACCTGCTCAAGTGGCCCGCATTAAAGAACAGCAGTGTGCCTGCATAGGACCCGTTTCCACACCCATGTTGACCTGACCCGACCCAGCAGTGCACTGCATTTGGGCGGGAACACTGTTCATTTTTTCTTTTGGCTTTGTATAATAGAAGATATCATTGTTTATGAATAATACAATAATAATATGTAAGTTCGTGTATAATAAGATACAATTATATAAAATACTTCTACATATATGTTTTATACTTTCGTGAAATGAATACACATTCGGACGTCGGCAGGGGCAGACTTAGGCATCGAAGACCGGTGTATACACATATAATATTAAAACTACATTTTAATAGGAATATAATAAAAAGAAAATTATACATTAACAAAATTATGGAGCAAATTGAAGAGTAAATTGGAAGAAAAAGTAGTTGAAGATGAGCGATTAGCGGACCATAAGGCGTCAGTAGTTTGCTGATTCTTTGTTTTAGGTATTTGAGTAGTTTGTTTCAAAAAATGTTATTGGACATTTAAATATATACCTAGGGATGGACTGGGCCGGGCCGAACCGGCCCGGAACCGGACCGGCCCGCTACTGTGCGGGCCCGGACCGGACCGGGCCCGGTTGGCCGGTTCCGGGCTTTTAGCCCGTTTTGGCGGGTCGGGCGGGCCGGTTCCGGGCCCTGTTTTTTGTTGAACCGGCCCGGGCGGTTCGGGCCGGGCCCGGTTCATTTTTTTTTTTTTTTTTTGGTTTTTTCAATTTTTTTTCTTTTCCTAGGGTAGGGCTGGGTGTTTTAGGGAGGTTTGGGGCGTGGGGGTGAGGGGGGGGGGGGGTAGGGAGATAACAAGAAAGTCAAAAAAAAAAAAAAAAAAAAAAACATTGAACCGGGCCCGGCCCGGCCCGGCCCGGTTAGGCCCGGACCCGGTATCAACCCGGGCCGGTTCCGGGCCCATGTAACCCGAAAAAAAGCCCGCCCGGGCCCGGCCCGGAACCGGAACCGGCCCGGCCCGGGTCCATCCCTATATATACCTATTTGTAATTTGGCTTTGAATTTGGATCCGTAACTTCAGCATGTGCAGTGATGCAATGGTAAAACGATTTTGAATGCTGGATTTAAAAATTAAAATAGGGAATGAAGTTATGAAACTGAGGAGCTTGGAAGACCCGACCTGAAGCAGTGTTATATTCTGAAAACAATTCTAATACCATCTAGGCTTATGACTATTTTTGAGGTGTAGCATGCGGACACCCTAATTATACTGTAAGTCCGCGACTACGGACGCGTTTTAAGCATTTCACAATTTAAAAATACGATATATAATACGTGTCTTATATATTAATGTAATAATAGAAATAAAGACTAATTTAACATATGCACGACATTTTTAGCACTTTAAAATGTAAGTTCAGATATACGAATTTGAATTCATAGGTACTACAAGTAATAAAAATGGCCTTGCGGCCTATTTGAGTAGAAGTAAAGAGATACTAGCACAGAATATTTGATATTACTGTGGCCGTAAGTTTGGTGAGCCATCACAATATTCTTCTCTCTTTGGAGTCTTGATATGAGTGGAACACAATAGCCTTCCTCGAGGCCAAGAGGGACCTGGCGGAGGCCATACGACGCATGGCGGATCAACACGACGCGGAGCGGACCGTCTACTCGGCGGAAATCGAGCATACTCCCCATTCCCCAATTCGGCACATGCAGCCGTTTGGGGAGTACACTGGTGAGACCGAGGGTTATCGTACCTCAGTTCATACCCGAATTGGCGCGACGCCACACTCCCAAGATATGGGAGGCCAAAGAGGAACATGTGTTCCAAGACACCGACGACGTGCCAACACAGACCGAACTCCAGTGGTACCGCGTAACAGCATGCTGGCTAGGGACCCTACTCCCACAGTGAACAACATGGGCCGCCGTTTCCACTAAGTTGAGGGGAATGGCAGTCGCATTATCCAAAGGCAACACGACGCAGACGTGGCCCGTGCGGAAGTTGTGACAGCAGTCATCAATCCCGTGGCCCCCACTCCTATGGTACATGATGTGATGCTGGCTGGATACAAAGGCAAATCGACGAGTTGACTTGCCGGGCGGATAATAGGTCGGCATAGCCTCGTATTGGTCTCACTTCCCCCTTCTCTCCGAGGATCATGGTTGCTAAGATTCCCCGAGACTGCAGGCCACCGAGCATCTTGATATACAATGGGGTGGGGGACC